GCAGAGAATCCACTCCAGGTTTTCATCCAAACCAGTGATTTCCAAACATTGACCCTCCAAGTATTTTGGACTTCAACTTCCAGTTGGGCCAGGAAAAGTCAGGAATTCTGGGAGCTGAGGTCCAAAACTCTGAAAGATCAAAGTTTGGGAACCACTGGTCCAGACTTTAGGACTCTCCATGGGGCTGAACTTCATCCCCAATATAGGTCCAGGACCTTGGATAGCTCCTTTAAAAATTCATATTAAAGCCCAGAACAAGTTCACTATCCCACCAATGTAGAAACCGCCAGCCACCACTACAGGAGAGGAGAGAAGAGAGGAAGCTGCAGCTTTTTTTGAAGTGAATTATTCTCTTAAACCTCCATGTCCCATAGAGTTTCCAAGCAAAGATATGGAGCTATTGTGAGCCCCAATCAGAATGGCCATTCACTGGGGATGATGGCAGGTGGTATCCAACAGGATCTTGAGGGTGACAGATCTGCATCATAAAGGGAGTGGAAAGACCATTTTAGGAGCCTAAATCTGGGTATAGAGTGGAATGCCAAGCTTCAGTTAGACCATTACAAAGCCTATGTTTCTCAGTCTAGGTTTAGAAGGTCCCTAGGGCATATTATCCCACATTCAGGCTTCCTCCTCTCACCAGATTCATCCATTCATTTGTGTTTACTTGCTTTCTTATCCCCATCACCACCTAAAGGTGGAAGCTCCCACTCATCGCAGGAATGTCCAAAATCCCAAAACCCACCTCAAGAGTTGCTGCTATTTGGTGCAGACCAGAGATAGGGAGCTCATAGTTTTCCAGATCTTCTTGGACTACAGCTCCCATCAGCCTTCTAGCTAGCATAGAATGTTGGGAGCTGCAGTTCAAGATGATCTGGAGGGCCACAAGTTCTAAGCTGTGACAGTTGGTGGCTCCCATGTTGGTGGGGGAATGAATCTGCTCTGAGTCTTAATCTAATGTTAAGGGAGCTATCTAAATTGCTGACCTCTATCCCCCAGCACCTTGGATAGCTCTTTTAAGGTTTGCATCACAATCTGGAATAGGGAGTCATCAGCCAATGGTGACTCCAGGTTGGAAATCTGGAAATAACCCTGAGTTATTTATTGGTTGTATTTACCCCTTGCTTTTCCTCCAGTAATCTCAAAGAAGTTTACAAGGTTCTTCCTCCCTGGCTCACTTTGAACATCACAACATGGTGTTACATGGGGTATGTGGACCACACTGGGTCTGTACTGGGTGCAAAATATACTGGTTTTGCCACTGACTCAGAACAGTCCTGCAAAGTAGGCTTGACTGAGAGGGAACAGCTGTTCCATGATGACCTAGGGAACTTTCAAGATCAAATGGACTTTCTGTGGTTGTTTCCAATGGTGCTGGAAGTCCTCTGAGCCCCTTTGTATGGAGTGAGCCTGCAGCATGACAAAGGCATAAAAAAGGGGCTGTACCAGGTCAGGGCAGAATGCAGTCTTGGCACAGATGGAAAGCAGTCACAGGATGAATTAAGCATGCCCTGCTGGACAGGAAAAGTCAACAGTGTGAACTTGTGAGAAGTAAAAAAAGAGAGAACAACTCTGTGAATCCAGCCCCAGAATGGGCTTATTAACCGTTTGTAGGAAGCAAGACGCCGCATGTCCCGGAGCAAAAACAAAGTGCTGAGGCGCCTCCTTGCAAAATGTACACCTCCTTCTCATCAGTCCAAAGTACCTGTTCCCAGGTGAGGCTATTTGCC